CGTCCAGCTGCTGCTCTACCTGCTGCCAGGCTGGGGGGACAGGCAGGGGGTGGGTTTGGGATGGGGGTGTCCCAGCCTGGGGGACTGCAGGAGTGGAACAGGATAGGGCAGGTCCCCAGGGTGGCAACTCCATCCCTGCACCAGTGATGTTCCCAGGATGATGCAGCTGCCTCAGAAGGGGCTCCACACGCTCCAACCCCCCCCCCGGTGCTGCCCAGGGACCCTCTGCCCTCACCTTCATAGATGAAGCGGACGTTCTCCTCGTGGGCCAGGGTGTAGCACTCCTCAGGAGCTGAGACCTGATGCAGCAGCACCTGTGGCCTCTTGCCATTCACTCTGTTGAACACGAGTTTCTGGGCTGGGCTGTGGAGACAAGCAAGGAGGGGTGAGGGGGGCCAGCAGCTCTTCCCATCCCGGTTCAGAGAAAGGATTGGGTGCCCTGAGTTACCCCACTTTGTGCACACTCCCCCACAGCCCCAGCAAGGCCAAGGGGCACAGCTGCAGCCACCCAGCCCTGTCCCCAAGGGAGGGGACAGACAGGGAAAGGGAACAGGGGTTCTGACACAAGGAGGGGGGAAAGGGGAGCTCCCCAGGGAAAAGCACATCCTCCACTCTCCCACCTGTCCTCCAGCCCAGCACCAAGTGCAGTCTCTGAAATAAAGAATTTGCCACCAAAACTGCAGGAATACCAGGAAAATGGAAGTGAAATCTACTCGGGTACAAGGCAGGGGACATGCCATGCTCTGCAGATCGAGCACTGGGATCAAGGGAGCAGCCCTGACCCCAGCATGTGCCCAAGGTGCCCCAGGACTGGGACATAACTCTGCCAATGAGGAGCAGGTCAGGCTTCCTCAGAGCCAGGACCCCCTTTGGGAGGGTGGCACTTAAACCAGCCCCAGTCTGGAAGCAGCAACACCAGACAGAGCCAAAGGAAAAACTTGGGATGAGATTTTGAGGGCATGTTCAATGTAAAACTCCAGTATTTTGGCCCTCCTGCCCAGCTCTGGGGGAGGACGTGCCTGCAACAGCCACGTTCCTCGCGGGACAAAGTCTAAGGGGCCTCGGGAGTGGGTTTGGAGGGCAGGAGAGACAGGCCTTGGGAGCAGGCAGCCCACGTGGACCTGTGGGCAGGGGCTGGGGAGGGCAGCGACCCCCAGACCCCACAGCCAGGGGCACTGCCAGGCAGCAGGAGAGTGAGTGTGGAGGCAGCACCTCCAGTGAGCTACAGGGAAGGAGGGGAGCTGGACAGGGGGTCTTTCATATATTTCTTGAAGCTGAAGGGGATGGGCAGAGCTGGAGGGGTTCCGCAGCCCTGCTGAGTGGGCTTTGCCTGCAGCCATCCAGCCAGGAAAGGGTCACCTTAGGGATACATCCATCATCACCTGCCAGGCGCTGGAATCCCCTCCGGCACCCACCCGGCAGCTCCAGGTACCGCTGGTGGACGCCGGGAGTCACCTCAAAGCGTCCCCCCAGGCACACCTCGGGGGCAGGGGGCACGGCCCGTCCCGCGTGGGTGCGTGGCGTGGCCGGAGCCGCGGCCAGGGGCGGGCGGTCCCACGGCGCTGGCCCCGCCGCCGGTTTGTGCAATCGGGGCCGTGCCCGGGGCCGGCGCGGGGGGGTCGGACAAGCCCAGCCCAGCCCGGCCCGGCTCTGCCCCGCACCGGGACCCCCCCGGGCCGCCTCCTTGGCGCGACCCCACCGCTCCCAATCCCCGCGGTTTTTGGGGACAGCCCCCGGGAAGGAGGAGCGGCGCCAGCCCCGGCGCCCCCCCGCGGGGCGGCCCACGCCACGCGTGTTCTCGCTGCGCGGGACCGTGCGGGCACCGGGACGGCTGCGACCCCCGCTCCGGGCGGCACCGAGCGGCGGCACCGGGATCCCCTCCACGGTCCCCCGGGCGGCCCGGCCGCCCCGCTCCCCTTCCCAAGGTCACGCCGCGGCCGCCCCGGGGCCGGTCCCCTTCCCAAGGTCACGGCGCTCACCTGGCGGGGGGCCACGCTCCGGGCTGCGGCCGCCCCCGCAGCTCGCCCAGCTTGCTGCTCTCCACCGCCTGCGTGGGACCTGCGGGGGGCGCGGGGCGTCAGGGGACAACGCGGGGCGGGACGGGGCCCCCCGCGCCCCCCGGGCCCCGCGCCCCCCGGTACCTGTGCGGCGCTGCGTGGCGAGCTTGCTGGGCCCGCGCGTCAGCGTGTACATCCTGCGGGCCCGCACCGGCCCCGCACCGGCCCCGCGCCCCCGCACCACTGCCGAGCGCGCCCCTCTCCGGGGCCTTTAACGGGCCGGGCCGGGCCGGGCGGCCCCGCGACACGCCCCCGCGCTTAAAGGGACCGCGCGGGGGGCGCGCGTGGGGCGGGGGACCGCGCAGGGGGGCTGGGGCTGTGCGGGGGGGGGGGGGCGCGTGGGACACGCGCGGGACACGTCGCGGGAACATGTGGGAGGTGTGCGGGGACACATGTGACACATGCGGGGTGTGTAAGGGACGTGCGTGGCATGTGGGGACACATAGGGGACACGCACGGGACACACAAGGGGAAACGCGCGGGATGTGGGGACGCGCTGGGGACACGCGGGACGCATCAGGGGCACGCACGGGAGGTGCGGGGGACACACGGGACACGTGCAGGGCACACTGGGGACTCACATGGGATGTGGGGACGCTCATGGCAGACAGGGGATGTGGGGACACGCAGCGGACACTCAGGGAATACACTGAGGGTGTGTGTGGGACGTGGGGACACAGAGGGGAAACATGCAGGACGTGTCGGGGTACACGTGGGGGGACATATGGGGCGCTCACAGGGTGCAAGGACACACAAGGGAGACATGCAAGACACGTTTGGGACACGTGGGGACATTCATGGGACACATGCAGGGACCTTAGGGAAAGGACATGGGATGTGGAGACGCACTTGGGACATGCATCGGACATGTCAGGGACACACGTGGGACGTGGAGGGCGCGCAGGAAACACACGGGGGACACACGGGGACATGTGTGGGACATGGGCACATGCAGGGGATATGAACGGGACACAGAGTACATGTGGGACATGTGGGAGACACAGGACACACACGGGACACACGGAATGCACACAAGGGACATTGGGACACGCAGGGGACAAAGTAGGGGAAAAGGCACAGGAGGCATGTGGGACACAAGATGGCACAGGCACTCAGGGGACACGGAAAGGACCTGCACGGGGACACTGAGGAGACGGAACACAGGAGCCATGGCACACACAGGGGACACGTAGGGGTCACTCCTGGGACACAGAGGGCCCAGGCAGGGGACATCGAGGGGGTTCAGAGGCAGGGGCTGAGGTGCCACCCGCACGGGGACAGCGCTGTGACGAGCCCTGAGCCGCACACATCCCATGAGCAGCGCGGGAAGCCGGAGCGGGGGCCGCGTCCCGGCCGTCACGGTGACCTTTGGAGTGGGGAGGTCCCGCCGAGGTGTCCCCACGTGGCGGGAGGTGCAGACCCGGCACATGACCCGGAGCCGGTCCCCGTCCCCACCCCCCGGGGCTGGGTGGTGACAGCAGCCAGGCTTTAGGGAGAGGCCATGTGACAAACCCACTGGGGTCTCCTGAATGCTCCAGCCTGGCTCCGGGGGCTGCAAAGCCACCCCACGAGAGTGACCTTTGCCTTTCCGCCACGTGCCCACAGTGCTCGCCAGGGAGGGAGGGGTGCAGGAGGGTGCCCCCAAGGAAAGCACAGCAGCGCCCGACCCTGGTGGGTGCCAGACGCCCCAGGGTCCCCCACAGGGGTGCACCCAGCACAGTCACATCCACATGACTCCCCCAACCCTATTACCGTGCCTAAATACAACCCGACCCACGGGGACACCACCGCTGGCTGTCACCTGCCTTGTCACACGGTAAGGGTTGTGTCCCAGTCTCCCCACCTGACACCTGCCTGGGGTTTGTAAGTGCCCGTGGGCACATCCCCGAGCTTTTCTATGCTCGGAAGGGCTGAACCCCGAATCCCTGTGCTCCAGATGGATCCCTCCAGAGCTCCATCGCCGCTGGGTGATGGTTCCCCACTCACCCCCGTTTTCCTGGGGTGTCCACGCAGAGCCCCAATTCGCTCTTGCTGAGGAGAACAGGGTGGGAATGCCGGTGTAGGGCGGGTAAGCTGCAGGCCCCGCCGGAGTGCTGCGGTCCCGAGTGGGGCCGAGAGGCGGCGGGGCGGGAGCGCTACCGACAGCGCCGCTGGTGTAGTGGTATCATGCAAGATTCCCATTCTTGCGACCCGGGTTCGATTCCCGGGCGGCGCACAAACCTTTTCCTTCTTTTTTTT